CAGCTGATAAACAATGAAAAAAAAGTTCTTAGTGAGTTAAAAACCCTAAGGGAAGCCAAAAGTTATTTAGGCAGATCACAGCTAGTAAATAAAATCATGTGAACAAGTCTTATTTTGGTTGTACTTCTATAGTCATAAGATAAAGTTAATATAATTTTTGAAAGACTAGTATCATAATAAATAAGGCAGGACAGCCAAATTAGAAAAAAAAAATATAAAATAAAATATATAAGCAGATTAATAAAGAATTAGCCTATAAAGTAATGATAATTACTATATATTAGTATAGTATAGTGATGAATTTATTAATAATCATTTAAATTGTCTGGTTTAAATTCTGAATAATTATATAATCATCCAGAGCACAACCTGAAACACATTTTCGATTTGCTATACATTGTAAATTGATTAAGGACATGACAAAAATTAAGTGATTTTTTAGGAGAGAAAAGGTATATATGCCAACGAAATTATTTTAGATTTTAGAATACAAAATTAAAATTTAAAGATGAATTGTTTTTGACCTATTTTACTTAAAAGATGAAATTTTTTGACACTTTTTTTGAAAAGACAAAATTATAAGAAACATAACTATCTAAATTAGATTTGCTATTGTATATAAAAAATTTTAAATTGCTTTAATGGAGACAAAATAATAGTTTTTTGAAAACCTATTTCAGTGGTATGTATAGGAGGAGGTAAAAATTTTATAATTATATATAAGAATCTGATCAAATTATATATTAAAAGAGGGGAAGAGAGATAAGCTTTTAATAAAAAAAAATCAGGTGATAAATAACACTGCTCTTACATATATGTTTTCATACAAATTAAGTAAACTAAACCTGTTGAGCAAGTGTTCAAATGAAAGTTTAATAATATTAAACATGTAATAACATTTAAAATTATCTGCAAAACTAGTATCATAATTTTTATATATAAATAGAAATTTGCATAATTTTATATATAAGTTTCTGGTGGGTGTGACGACTTAGTATAGTTGGTAAGTTGTCACACCCTCAAGTGGCAAGTCAAGAGTTCGAATCCCACTGGTGACGAAATTCGAATTTAAGAAATGTGTTACAGTAAACTGTGTGTAATTTGACAGGTCGGCACCTATAACCTTGGTCATACCAGCTTGTACTGGGAGGTTGCGGAACAGTAGTGTTACGTATGAGTTGTACAAAATGAGTGATGCACCATATAAATCTAGGTAATCAGGTACATAGAAGCCCACTTGGCAAGTTCTGAGTAAAGAGGTAGCACAAACTTTTGACGGTACTACGTAAAGGATCATTATCAGCAATCGAACACCAATAGTAAACCGAACAAGAATCGGGTGTTTGGCAAACACTAATACCAACCAGGCTGCATGTAATACGAGGAAAAAGGATTCAATCGGAATACCAGGAGATGCCCACTGGTCCCCCCCGAGCCATCTGGATTGGGAGTTTGGGGCGCAATTGATGACCAGGAATGGCGGTGATTGTCCGTAAAGTGTGTATTAGGATTTGAGTAAACTCTACAAGGGCAGAAGTAGGTAATAGTAGTGGCTTCGGCTCACAAGTACTTGTTTTCAAACTCGGCGTAAGTTACCGAAGTCTAGGTTGGCCAGATTGTGAGTACAGAAGGCTTTAGCAGATTTACCTCAAGGATAAAGGACCTCTATAAGTGGGTCTGTCTTAAAATCCTAAGTCAGGTATCTGAAAATAAGGGGATACTAAGTATTCTCTCTTGGTTAGAAGTTAATGTTCATAAACGCAAAGAGTTTCAATAGGTAACTCGGTAGGGTTATAGGTACAGCAGCTAGTGTAGAACTTAGTAATAGGAAACTACTTAAATAGGCAACCAAAAGTTGCACATGTGGCTAGTCTGTACTCTCCAAATGAAACTTAATGAAACTATATGCCACATTACTGTAAAAGTTAATAATAACCGAATAAAAGGAAAGCGACCAAAAGGTCACCTTAACATCAAAAAAAATATATATATATAAGTTTCTGACATAATATTTGCATATAAATAACATTAGCCAAAAATTTCATAGAACTGACATATAAAGTCTAATAGTCCTGATAAAACTTTCGCACTATTTAATTGCTAATATAAAAGTTATGTATGTATATGTACAATTTTGTATTTTTATTGAATTTATTATTTCAAAATTACAAACTTAATTGAATTAGCTGAAGTACCATTTGGTTAATTTTTATTAGATGTTCTAAAAATTATGAAAATAGCAGTAATCATGCCGAAATCAATAACTTATCAAATCGGCCAAATAATCATTTAGTTGAATTTTTATAAGGTGTCCCAAAAAAAATGATAACAGCTATAAATCAGATTATTACAGCTATTATCATAATTTCTGGGACATCTGCTCATTACCCGAAATCATTTTGGTTGTTCAATAAATTACTTAACTCTCCAGGAATTACTTCATTGCCTCCAGATTGAAGGTCCAAAGATAGTGATGTGGTTTCCGGAGAGTTAGGTAATTTACCAAATGACCAAAAAGATTTCGGGTAATGAGTAGGTGTCCCAAAAATTATGATAATAGCTGTAAATTCAGATCAAACCAGATATCTGGCAGATTTTATCTGAAATATTTGGTTGATTTACATTTAGCGTGAATACCATAAAATTTTTCAAGGCTATAATTTATTGAGAGTAACAAATATCTTATTTAGCTGTTAAGTGCACAATAAACTAGTAATTGAATTATATAAGCTACTCAAGATCATACTGCTAATTCACTTTGGTTTGCATCATTTCTGTGAGAATAACAACATTTTACCATGGTTTAATTAATTCATGAGTCAATGACTAGTTAATTCGCACTTAAAAACGAAGCAACCGAATTAAGCACCCGTATAAAAAAAGGATGTTTACAGCTGTTCTCATAAATTCTGGAAAATTTGGCAAAAGTTGACCGACCTAATATTTACCGATTCGATAAGCTTTGATTTAGCAGTGATAAACTTTTGATTCAGATGTAATTACATCCAAATCAAAAGTTTATCACTGCTAAATCAAAGCTTATTGAATCGGCAAATATTAGGTCGGTCAACTTTTGCCAAATTTTCCAGAATTTATGAGAACAGCTGTAATTCAGAATGCTATGATATTTATTCATTAACTTTTTTATTCGCATTATATTCATATCTAACGATTGCATAAAATTCTATAACCTTAAGTTTATTTAAGATCAGAATTCAACTTAAAACGGATTCTGAATCTAAAATTATTTCGTATTAACTTACAACAGTAATGTGGCAACATCTCACGGGTCAACTCACGGGTCAACCCGTGGGTTGACCCGCGGGTTGACTACCCGGGTTGATTCAACTCAAATCGGGTCACCCGACCCACCCGCGGGTGACCCGGGTGACACCAACCCGGGTCCAATCCCTAACTAGGACCCTAAATTAATCGAATTTACGATCTATATAATCAGACCAGAAAGTCATCCTATATGGTGGCCACTGTGTGAAATTTATGTTTTCACAAAAATCTCAGAATAGTAGATTTTGAAATTTTTTATATTCTAACATAAGTGTAACCTAAAATTTAGAAAACATTGAGAACGACTTTCGCACAATAACAGGTCCCTATTTTATTATGTAAAAATTTAATTAATAAAGATATATACTTTTATCTGGATAATGTATATTACTACATAACACCAATTACATGAAAAGCAAACAAAGAGATGCATTAAAGCTTTGCTTTATTGCATCTCTAAATTAAGCAAATTATAATCCAATTATCTAAATGGATAAGGAAATATTTAATCATTAGAAACTTTTTGTAATCCGATATTAACACCTCTATGTATTCCACTATCAGTATAATTATACCGAACGCCACCATTATATACCGCACCATTCACATTACTATCCATATTATTCAATCTACGTGTCGAATTGCCGATATTTCGATCCAATAACATCCAAATCCAATTAGCAAACTTTAAAACAAATCCAGCTGTTACCCAAACGCCACCAACCAATCCACAAAGACGTGTTAAAAATTTTGCGAATGTCACGGACTTTTCGGTTATGCGAACCGAAATTGGTTCTATGTCATATTTGAAAAAGATCCCTTTTGCATATACATATATATATATATGTTACTAAAACGTTATAGTATAATGAGATCATTCAATATATGAACATTACCTGGGACACCAGTCGGTTTTGTTTCATCGATTATTCTGGTGTAGTCTGTAACTGCATATTGATTTGTTAATAAAACTCTATTGAAATTGTCTATATATGTTGTTGGGACCTAAATAATTATAAGTTATCGTCCGGCCGTTGTTACTTACTGCCGCACCAAAATTTTGATCAGATTTGTACGGTTGAGTTTTATATCATTATTAAATAGAGTTGATTATGTTATCGGCTCTGTCTAATAAGAATTTTAAAACTCAGCCGTACAAATATGATCAAGATTTTGGTATGATAGCAACAACATGGCCGACGATAATGTGCAATACATTTTGTTAATAGAACAAATCATAAATTGGCAAAAATAAATAAATAAATAAATAAGTGAATGATTAACTTACAACTGACAAGAAATACTGAAAAGCCTCAACATCTTTATGCATTAAAAAGAAATTATTAGATCAATTATATTAAATAAGACTAAAGATTGTGATATAATAAAATTAAAACACACGTGCTTCAGATATCTCAATACTGTCATCCAACGGGTTTATAAGTTGTGGATACAGTGTTCCAAATGAAAATTCATCAATTCGATGTGTAAAGTTCAATACTTTGAATAATAAACCGATTATTTTTTGGTTTGAAATTAATAAAATAACACATTGAAGAAATACATACAATTATTTTCAGCAACAAGTTTACCAAATCCACTATATCCATGACCAACTGCTGTAATATGCAAATTTCCTGTGACTTTATTAACTTCCACGGCCCCAAAAACTCTACATGCACTCATCTGATTATCTATAATATTACATGAGTTTGATAATGGATTTAAAGTTCTGCTGTAAGTGAAGATGACGTACCGATGACATCAGTATTTGGATTAAATGTATCAGCAACTTTTGCGGCAGCATCAAACATCATCTTCTTTAAATCTAATGGTAATTCATTTTCTGGGAGATAACTAAATATGGTTTGTTTAAAAAAAGAAAACGCGCATTAGATAATTTGTAACTTGATAATCACATTTGTAACAAATTTTTGGAGGTTACCCTAAATGATGCGCCTCTCTGACTTCAAATATTGTCTAAATTAATGTTAGACTATAAATCAATTTCAGGTATTATGCAAAGAACAAATAAAAAATGTCTACTACCGGAAATACTTTTAGTTCATCAGTCAAGTGTGAACTTTCACCAGCTGCGTCAAGGAGGTCAACTGTTAAATCTAGCAATATTTTTAACTTTACTGTAAATATCAATGTTGAAAAAAAACTTTTATATACATATATTACTCACATATACACGGCATATTCACGGTAATATCGACATTGATTTGCATTTTATGATTTATGCTTCTATCTACCAAGAACTCATATCTTTGATTTAAGTACCAATATTCACGAAATTCACTAATTATTAAAAACGATAAAAAAATTGATATAATAATGGTTACAAATCCGCCTTGTGGACTTTTATGTTGATAGCCGGAGTCTACTTTCGGGAACGCATCAAAGATTATTACTTTCTTTAAAAGTCGTGTTATCATCGTGCCATAAAGATTATATTTGACGATTAAAAATTTAAAATTATTTTTTTAAGGACTTGGATCGATGTCAATTTCAGCATTTTTAACGTTAACACATAATGTTTCACGCATAATGTTTCAGTGTAACATACAAAAACAGAAATTCCTAGAAAGCTCATTCGATGGATTACATAGCAGTGTTAACGGAGAAATATTCCCCTACAGTATTACTAAGAATGAATAAATTCGACTGTATAATCATTTTTTATAATTTAATTTAAATTTATTTTGCAGCCTTTGGGTCAAATGATAGTTTTAGCAACTAGCAGTTTATGCAATAATACTGTATAATATACGTATTTATGACGCGTAATTCGTGTTATTGGCAATAATCCCTATGCTTACGATATAAGTTTAATTTGTCCCAGACTAGCTGTTAATATTACTTTTAATATTGCTATTTAACATATATAAGAATTTTTTGAAATTACTTTTGGTGCTCTAAGGTGTAGTGCTCATCAAGACGCATCTAATGGGTGAGAGCGGTAAAATTGGCCTAGTGGTTCCCAAGAAATTCTCAAAAATGTTTCGCCAGCATAAAAATTTTTTCGATCAGTAGAAGGTTGGTTGAAAATTAGTAAATGCGTGCTATATACAGAAAATCCAACTCTAACTTATATACTATGAAATTAAAAATTAATTGAAAATAACCATATTTAACCGGAGGCAAAATTACCTCCTTTATGTTTTTAGGGTTAGAATGCAGTTTTAAGCTAAGATTGAGGCTAAGTATAAAAGTCTAAGTTTTAGTTTAAGTTTTCAGATGTTCTAAATATTTTTACTTAAAATACTCTGATCCATGTGTACAAGCGTTTCCGCTAATATCCAACTAATCAGAATATTTATATTAGCTTTAATTGGTATGTTTTTGAGGTATTACACCTGGCAAGGTTGGCAATGTAAAGTCAATGAAGCTCTGAGTAGAGCCAATAAAAACTAGTTTTTTGAGCTCCATTTGCACAACATTGAGTACCATTGGTGATTTTACCTCTTGTTAAATTAGCAATTCCCAAATTAATTTACCAATTTGAATAACTAAATATGTATAATTATCTATTAAATGCAACCATTAGTCAAATTCTTATTAAACAATAATTTATTTTTATGATCAATAATAAAGAAATTTTATTGTATAACAATATAACAATTTAAGACGAAATCGGGAAAGTTAAAAGTTCATAAGTTGAATAAACAGAATTTAAGCTAAAGGATGGTAATCGGTGTAAGCAATCACTGTAAAAAAAAAAAACAAAAAAAAAAACAAACACAAATAAAACAAACACGAAAAAAAAAACTTGAAATGATGATGGAGTAATCGTGAAATACAATTAACTGTTTCATAATAACAATTACGTACGACCATTATAAAAAAAAATAACAATCATTCTGATTTTGTCGCTCTCGCTGCTTCCAATTTTTCCAAATCTTCGTTTTGGATGCCCATCCAACTTTTAGGAGAATAAATCCAAAGAAATAACTTGCTAAGAGGAATTCCCGTGAATCGATCCACAATACTAAGCCCATCTGCAGTTTGTGAAAACACAGCTTCTGTGTACCAACCAAGCCAATAGAATGCAAGACCCATAGGTGGAAGTTGGTCAATAGGGCCTATGTAAAGATTATCAGAGAACAATTCAAGTGGAAGTCCACGTGGAGCGGTGACAGATGACAAGGATGTATTAAATCCTTTGGGGGTGAGTAGAGATTCGGATTCATCGATATCCTGAAAGTTTTTTGAATCCTCAAATAAATTAGAACGTTGATCACTAAATTTTTCGTCATTCAACTCAAGAGATGTTATCGGATCTGGAAAAAAGATATACACACGAAGTTAACAAAAGAAAATTATGCGTTAAAAAAAGATTCAATAACTTACGTTGATTATTAGCTATTGCCCTTGTATTAGCTTTATTATTTTTACAAAGAATAATGATAAATCAAATATTTATAAATTAAATTCTATAAATTAAATTCATAATAAAGAATTAAAATCACAAACTTTGCAATTCCTCATTTCTGCGGCCACTTGTGATGGAATCACTCTTGAGCACATCAGGAAAGTGATTAGAGTTATAATATTCTGGGATATTATCCTTTGGATATCCACCCCATCCTTCACGTTGACCAAAATTGCCTTTTTCTTCTTCAGTCAAAGCCGTAACGTCAGATAGAGCGTTCTCGCCCGAACCTTCGGTAATTACCGATTCAGGCTCACTCGGAGGGCCAGTACTTCCGCGAATATGGAACGTTGCGGTATTGGATTCATTACTGTTTTTGGGATTTAACGAATCGAGGTTCTGGGTCACGTGGTTGGTTTCTTGATCCACATTCACGTGATCATGGGGAATTTTTTTAATATTCTCAACAGTGGATTCATTACCATTCATAGCGATATTGTCCGGTGTTTCACTCACGGCTAACATAAACGTTAAGATCTATTAATATTTTTTTTTTTTGAACGCAATAATAACGAAAAATTATATCACGAAAAAATTATCTACCAGTCATATCTGATGAATTATCAGAAGCAGATGTTTTTTTTGGTTTTGATTTTCCTTGTTTACTAGTTTGTTGTTTAGTTTTTTTGCGTTTCCCTGAGCTCATATCGTCAGGTTTCCTAGATTTATTGCGTCCAAGACTAAGAAACATTTTAAATAGAAGCGAAAAATCAAATTATTTGATAGAATAGGTGTTTATCAAGTTATTAAAAAAAAATATGATGATAGAAATTTATCATATATTATTCAGCAGTACGATAAATGACGTTATAATGCAACAATCATAACATTAAAAATGATCAATAGAAATTAAATTTTATAAAGTTTTTTTTTTTTTTTGAGCTGTCATTTTTTTGTCTTCTTAAAGACTATTTATACTGATCTGATGGATAAATTGATTATTCGTCATGATTTTAACAGTGAAAAAAAGTTTTTGAGTATCACATGATAATGACTTCTATCGCGTTTTCGAATAACCAATTATATCTTTATTAAAAGTCTGTATAACCATATGATGTTTACAGATATAATAGAATAATTATGACATCTCATTATCTGTTATTGCTTCTTGCTTGCTACTTGAATTCGTTTACGTTAAAATGTCGTATTTATTCGATGATTGGGTTGAAATCCTTCCTCTTAACTTTATTTCTCCAATGACTATTGGGACTATTGGGCTTCGAAATCAACTGTCAGGAGTTTCAATTCCGCTTGACGTTTCAACTACACAATCTCATTACATTATTCGAGCTGATGTCCCAGGCATTCCATTATCCGATATTTCCGTAGAAGTTTCTGATACGGATGTATTAACTATTTCAACTCATCGTAAAAATGAAGTGCAAAAAAATGATAAAGATGAGGAATCTAAAATTAGTGAAAGATATTATGGGAAACTTGTTAGAAATCTTAAATTTCCAAAGGATAGCATTGTGGCTGATGGTATTAAAGCTGAATTGGCCAATGGTGAATTGGTTATCAAAATTCCTAAAAAGAAAAGTGGGAATGAAAACAAGATTATAAAAGTTTTTCAAAAAGGAAAATTGTGAATGCGAATGTTTTTTTTTTTGCAAATAGTTACGTCTACAATATTTGCAAAATTTTAAATGTTCATATATTTGTTTTAATTGCAAATATTAGCCCTTTTAACTTTTATGTTGAAGAAATGTCATTTTAGGTTTCAATTCGAATAATATTGACTTTGATTTTATCGTTATGTACATTCGAGTTTTATGCAAGAATAAATAATATATTTACTTTTAAGAGACTCTTGTGTTCGGTATTATATCTGAAGTTTTCTAAAAGAAATGAAAAAGTTCAGCTAATTTGCAATACGAACATGGTTACATTTGATATTGATACGTATTAATAAAGTAAATACATCATTTAGTGGTATTATCGTTATCATTATCGTTATTTTATATTAACTAACCCGTTGCTAACGAGTTTACAGATTAAAGAAACGTGCGGCTCATGCTTCAATGATGTATTTGTGTATCATCTATGATTATTTCAAGTGAGCTAAGACATTCCTCCTTTGTAAAAAAAAATACAGTACAGAGAAAAATAAGTCCAATCGACTAGATTTACTATATTTCGTGTTTAGTGCTTTCAGAGAAATAATTTGTGTTTCCTCGCTTAAAGATAGGTATAGGTATGCATATCTAAAGATGCTGGCGAAATGAAATAATTTCATCAGCAACCCCATTCACTTTGAGTGTGGAATTACGTTATCGCTTGCATATATTTATCCGTTTTCAAGGAATATAGACTGACTTTATTTTCATTGCTCCTTACACTTTTTGCAACGGCAATATAATGAATTGTGATGACTGCTCATGCGTACACTTGTCAGCAAAACTAACCATTTTTAGACCTCACTTAAATCCCCAATATAATTAAATACCCAAACGAGATGTCTGTCAATGTCTCATAAAGAATTGTTAATGATTGGCCATCACATTTCTACTGTTTAAAAAAAGTTAATTTATTAATAACTTCAAGAATGAGTAAAGCGAAGGTATCATCCTGTTAACATTTTAATTTTTATAACTCTAATAAACCATCTATATTCTTTTTTTATAAATCAAATAGAAATGTGGTAACCAATCACACCCATTTTCAACAACACTTGGACTTCCTATAATGTGTTGTAACCTGTGAAGTCTGTGTCTTCACCACCCTAATCAAACCCTATATTACACCACCATAATCAAGCCACGAACTGTGATTGTCAAAACCTCAAAATTTTAGAAATTCTACACGCGTATCATGATTTGGATCATTAAACTTTCGGGTTCTTTATTCAAAATATTTATTAAAATAGAAATATTCTCTGGCAGAATATTTCATTTTTACACTATTATTAGATGTTGCAAAGCCATTCACTCTTGCGAAATATTTCAGATTTTGAAAAGTAATTTCGAAATTAGTAAATAGTAAATTAGTTGTCTACATACCGATTATACCTTTTCAAAAAATACTATCGAAATAACTAAAACAGTGAATTCTTCTACTTTTGGCAAGTTGATGTTTGAATTAATGAAATTCGGTGAATTTCACCAAGTACCTCTCCCTGACATTGTACACAAGAGCTAAATAATTTCTAATTATGTCACCCTAAGATACCACCATTAAGCGCTCTTAACATTCATTTTATTATTTTGGATGTTTCGTTAAACAATATATTTCAAATTTACCAAGGAAGAAATTTTGCAAACATTAATTATGGTCTCGTTCAAATAAAATTCCATCTATATCGAACTTATAAATTTCTTATATTTAATAATTCAATATTCTTATTCAAATTCAATCTCCAATTGCGCATACATCATTTCATACCTTTTTTTATCAATTTATGCCTTATATTTTTTTTTACTTGTCACAAAATCAAAATGAATATTATTTATTCTTTTTACGTCTTTCATAGATTATTGTGGTAAAAGGTCTAAAATAATGATAGAATTCGTAAAAAATTCGAAAATAAGTGGAATAAAAGTTGATTGTCATAAAAACTTACCCTTCAAATTGAAGTGCTATTAAATAAAGTATAAACGCCCATATAGTTAAAAGAATTCCAGCAGGGCACGCAAACCTATTTTATTACTGAAAATTTCAGAAATTATATCATACATTTATACCCAATTTTTTAAAACATACCATAAAGCAGTGGATAAAAACACCATAGACGATCCATAATACATCGGATTTTCAAGCACATTAAATGGAAAAGATGTAACTCGACTATCCATTAGAATACCAAAGTAATCACCTAAAAGTCATCAAGAAACCATAAATAATTATTTCGAAACATACCATGTGGTTGGGAGTTCTTAACAAATTCTTACCAAGATAAGTTCCAGTTATACCAAGCGCATACATTGACGATAACACGAAAGTATTTCCTGTAAAGAATAAAATCGCTGCTAAACCTTTAATCAAATCATTTTGTAAAAATGATGATTTTGGTTGATGATCGATTGCTATTTTATATCTACGTTAATTTTAAAGTAGATTCATTACGAATAAATTTAATTAAATGTTGAAGTTAAAAAATTTCAATTAACAATACTAACAAGTAATCTCTAAATATCCCAAGTAGGAAAATAGTAATGGCTAACGCATAACAGCCATGGTAAGGATTTCCACCAAAAAGACGAGTTATAAATTTTGTACGATATTCTGTCTGTTTTTAATTTTTTTTTTTTTTTAGCATTTAGAATATATCAAAAGAAACAAAATTTTTTTTCACAACCTACTCTAGCAGCAATATTCCAAAAAAGAGGATTGAAAGAAATTGAAGCAAAAGAAATCCATAAGGATTTTTGAGTAAAATCAAAAAGTTCTAGTGACATCTTGTTAAAAACTTGTTGGCGTTGATTGTCGTTATCGTTATTTTTATTTTTATCCATGGCGAAAAAAAATTATCAGTAGATCATTTTTTTACGAATTTGATTGGCTGTACTATGAAACAGCATGCGACAATCCTTTTTAAAATTTAATACTTTTATATCTTCTAGCGAAGATTTCTCAATGACTGTGTGATTAAATTTAAACCAAAATTTTAATTTAATTCTACAGGCTTGTAGAATTGAAATAAAAAGTTTCGTCGAGTTTGACATGGTAGTTATCAAGAAAACTTCATTTAAAATCATGAAAATCTTGGGAAAAATATGGCTAAACATGGTTTTTAAACTTTAAATGAAAATTCCTCGATAACTACTTTATCAAATTTGATGAAATTTATTGATTGAAATTTAAAAAAAAATTAGCTACAGCTTTTTTTTTACAGATACCAAAATTTTAACAAGATTACTTAGAACATACCTGATCAAATTCGATCAATAAATTTTAATTTGATTCTATAATCTTATAGAATTAAATAAAAAAAATTGATCGAATTTTATTAGATATATGTCAAGTATTCTTCATTAAAAGTTTTGAGTATCTGTAAAAAAAAGGTTGTAGCCAAATTTTTCTCTAATTTTTAATCAATATTTCTCAATGACTATTTATTCAAATTTGATGGAAAAATTTATATCGAATTTGGTTAGATATTTGTTGAGAAATCGTCGTTAAATATTTTTTAAAAACTTAAAAAAAAGGTGTTGTAATAATTTTTTTTATTTAAACTTTCTCAACAACCATCTATCTAAATTCGATATAAATTTTTTATTCTAATTTTACATATTTGTGAAATTAAAATAAAATTTTTATCAAATTGGATAAATGGTCATTGAGAAATACTGATAAAAATTAAAGAAAAATTTAGCTGTAGCTTTCTTTTTGTACAAATACCAAAACTTTAAACAAAGATATATCGACACAGCACTCACGTGACTAATTCCGCTATATGTATACTTAAATTATTTTTAAAGAAGTTTCGGCAAACATTTTAGCACCGATAAATTTTTTATAGGAAACCTCCGAAATAATTAAGCTATATAATGTATTTTGATGAAAAGAATTCAAAAAATTTCGGCAATAATTTTGGCAAATATGAAAATTAATTTCGGCAATAATTTTGGCAAATATGAAAATTAATTTCGGCAACTATGAACGAATGGTTAAATGCCGTACGTAATAATTTTTATTGTGATAGGTAGAGCTTGTACCCGTATAAGAGTCACCCGGGTAACTCGGTTAACATCT